GTGTGTTGATGATAACAGGGTCTTGGATAATGGGCTCAATCAACTCCTGTGCCCACACTGTGTATGCCCTCCATATCCCTTATTGTCGATCCAGGACCATCAACCATTTCTTCTGTGATGTCCCGGCCATGTTGACTCTGGCCTGCATGGACACCTGGGTCTATGAGTACACAGTGTTTGTCAGCACAACCCTCTTCCTTGTGTTTCCTTTCATTGGCATTGCATGTTCCTATGGCCGAGTTCTCCTTGCCATCTGCCGTATGCACTCAACAGAAGGGAGGAAGAAGGCCTATTCGACCTGCAGCACCCACCTCACTGTGGTGACTTTATATTATGTACCCTTTGCTTACACTTATCTACGCCCAAGATCGCTGAGATCTCCAACAGAGGACAAGGTTCTGGCTGTCTTCTACACCATCCTGACTCCTATGTTCAACCCTATCATTTACAGCCTGAGAAACAAGGAGGTGATGGGGGCCCTGAGAAGAATGGTTCAGATAATCTGCCATTTGAAAATGTAGACAAAGCTTTTTGCATATGCACCCAAGACTTGGGTATAAGTTCCTTTGTCAGTGTACAGTAATTATATAAAATGTCATTTTATTATTGGAGGATGCAGACTAGAATCACAAGATAATCACACACGTCTCATTTCTGAGAGATGAAATTGTCTCTCAAATATATATGTAATTATAATCCTTCTCTCTTTTTTATATTTGTGGTGTTTTTCCTCATGAATTTCATGTGCACTCATTTTTTGCTAACATATTTTCAGAGAAAATGGTTCTTTTTCACATGGAAATTAAAATGGAAACTGTTTTACTGAAGTTGTCACTCAGCATAACAATTCTACTATTTTAAAATTATTTTCTGGGGCGCCTGGGTGGCTTAGTCGGTTAAGCATCCGACTTTCGCTCAGGTCATGATCTCGCGGTTCGTGGGTTCCAGCCCCGTGTCGGGCTCTGTGCTGACTGCCAGCTCAGAGCCTGGAGCCTGTTTCAGTCTGTGACTCCCTCTCTCTCTGACCCTCCCCTGCTCACACTGTCTCTCTCTCTGTCTCCTAGAAATAAATTAAAAATAAAATAAAATAAAATAAAATTATTTTCTAAAATATGTAAAGAGGAATATAAACATTTCTTGAATGACTAGATCTAATTAGTCAGAAACTTTTGTTCTTTTCATTGTAGAGAAAAACACTTATCTGTGTGTTGCTAATTTTTTTCACTGTGGGCTATTTTTGCTTTAGAAAGATACTTCTCTGAGGTTCTCCAAAGTCCTCTGTGTTGTATTCACAGACAATGATTTTTTTTTTTTTTTTGTTATTAATCTGTCTGATATTCACAGGTCTAAGTCTCAGGTTCATATTCTTTGAGTCAGTCATGCCTTCCTAACATTTCTTATATTAGAGTCTTAGAGTTTGCTCTGTGGTTAACAGCTGTGGAGATGAATTTAAATCTTTTGAGACAGGGCACCTGGGTGGCTCAGTCAGTTAAGTGACTTAGGTTCAGGTCATGATGTTACATATCACGAGTTCAAGCCCTGTATTGGGCTGGACTTGGACGTCCAGAGACATGGTGTGGATTCTGTTAGGACATGGTATTTCAGGGCTAACAGCAGACCTAGGGCCCCAATTTCCTCCATTATCCACTGCCTGAAATAGATAAGGAGTCTATATTGGGCATCCTTATTCGATTCCACATTCTTCAGATTACTTCCAATGATAACCACTGGGAAAAAATGCAGACATTCCCATCATATCTTTTTCCACAGTTTGCATGATAAGATTCCCTTTCTACTCACTCTTTTTACTTTTCTCCAAGCTGGCCTCATGAATGTGTGATCTGTGTGCTTGCACAGGGGCCCACACTCCCAAAGGCTACTTGCTTGGCTTAATGCTCTGTGTTTGCCAGTTGAACTCTTTATAATTTTACATGTGGGTGTACATGTGAGCAGAGGAGCTATGCTGGGTGGCAGCACTGGCATGTGATTGCTGCACATTAGCAACACCTGCACAGGTGGGCTCAGCAGCATGCACTCGGAGTAATAAGCCTGGCTTCTTCATATGAACACACACATCTGTGTTCAGGGCACGTAGGACCCCAAGGCGTAGCTCTGCTAGGACTGGGGCCAGACTGCTGACAGTGATGACAGTAGCAACTGCAGAGGCAGCAACAAAGGTAGAGGGTCCACTTCCAGGAGACAGAGGAGCTCTGCCTGGCAGTAGCAGTGGCTCATGGTGTGGCAAGGGCTGACTTTCACTTCCATCCCAAAGCCCATCCTGTGTCATTGGTAAAATCACTGTCTTTCCTGAGTGTGTGAACAGGAAATGGTATGGAGCTTTAGTAGTAGTAGGAATCTTTGTCAGGGAAATACCACAGGTAATGTACACACATTGCAATTGCAATGAAACATATTGGGAAGTTAGAGAGTCAAAAATTACTTTTAGAAACTTCTGCAACATGGCAAAGAAAATTCCCAGAGGTTTAGAAATAGAAATAAAACTTAACAGTGTTAAAAATATTTAAAAGTTAATATGAAATAGTATTGATGAAAATAATAAAATTCCATATCAAATTTCAGACCCACCGCAAAAAAAAGAGATAACAGCAATTTACATTGTAATTGAAGATACAGTGATAAAATGAATAAATGGGTATTGGAAACATGATGTGACTTCCAGTATCTTTTACAAAGTTCACAGATTACCAGAAAATTGAAAGGTTCATTAAAATGACATTTATTAAATGTATATGTAAAAGCAAATTCAGATTTATTGATTGGTTGAAATTGATTTATTAGAGAACTTCTTCACTGGAAAAAAAAAAAAGGTCTGAAGAAACATCAACTCTACATGTACTAAAATTTATGTTTGGAAATAATGTATCAGAAGTTCAGTCCACTGTTGTCACTACCTATAAATACTCCAAACCCTTCCAGTAACATAAGCATAATGAGTCTTCTCAAATTAAAAATCATCAAAATTAATGGCAACCTTGCATTTGCCACCAGTAACTAACAGCACTTTCAATTATATGGATAGAAAAATGAAGTTCCTAAAGTCATAAATTTTGATAAAATCTATTTGAAGAAAAAAATGAGGCAAAAATTATTTCCAATGAAGACATCACAGAACAATGTATTACTATTTATTATATTTTAAATTATGATAAAAATAAGGACGCCCAGGTGGCTCAGTCACTTAAGTGTCCGACTTCGTCTCAGGTGAAGATCTAGCATTTGGTGAGTTGGAGCCCCGCGTTGGGCTCTGTGCTGACAGCGCAGAGCCTGGAGCCTGCTTCAGATTCTGTGTCTCCTTTGCTCTCTGCCCTTTCCCTGCTCACACTCTCTCTCTGTCTCTCAAAAATAAAGAAACATTAAATATTGAAAAAATGAAAATAAAATTGTGATAAAATACTGTTGGTCATATGTATTGCATTTGATAGATAAGAAATTAATTTTGAAGAAAAAAATCTTTATATTTAAGCATAAAGGATGGGGCGCCTTCCTGCTTTTTAAACAAGACGCCTCATATTTTTGTATTATAGCCATAAATTATGCAAGTTATGGCCTACCTCCTCTCTGTCAAACCTGGGAAAGTAAAGAGCGTTCTTCACTTACCACTGTTGAGTAGTGTTAGCACTCTACTTGAACAGGAAGTTCACTTGAGCTTAATTTTTTTTTAAATTAATAGTGGGACCTGTTTAGAAAAGTGATTTATCAATGGTTAGAATTGGTGTGTAGAAGAGATATTTTCCCAACCTATTTCAGTAAAACGTTGAAGTGTAGTGAATGGAAAATAAAATAACTTATGAAAGGCATGATATAATACAAGGATAGCAGAGGCTACTGAGTATGTGATAAGTGTGCGGTGTGGTTATGGAAATGTCCTCGAAATTCCTAATTCCTAATAGCTACACTCAACTTGTGACCCACTCAGATTACTAGTAACCTCAATATTTCTTGATCTCTTATGGCACATCCATGTTTTTATACTTGATCTTGAAGAATACCTGAGATGAAATCACCTTCCTAGGTTTAATTTTCATAAAAGGAGCATAAATTTGTTACAGTTTATTCAGAATGGTCTAGGAATTTAGAATCCCTGATGAAATCTCACCTAAATCTTTCTAAAACCAAGTTAGCCTACAGTGGAAAAAAAGTAACATACACAGATAAGTTACGAGGTTAAAATGAGAAGAAAAAAAAAGGTTTCTGACTTTAATTAGATCTAGACATTCAGTAGAACTGTTATGCTGAATGAAAACTTCAGTTAAACAGTTTTAATTTTTATTTCCACATGAAAAAGAACCATTTTCATTCAGGGCTTATTAACAAAACATGAGTGCATTTGAAATTCATCAGGAAAAGCACCATAAAGATAAAACAGAGGTTTATAATTACATCTATATTTGAGAGACAATTTTGTCCAGACATGAGTAATTTTCTTGTGATTCTAGCCCTTATGCTCCAGTAATGAAATAGTATTTTATATTACTGTACACAGATGAAGGGACGTATACCTAAATATTGGGTGCATATGCAAAAAGCTTTGTCTACGTTTTCAGAAAGAGATTATCTGAACCATTCTTCTCAGGGCCCCCATCACCTCCTTGTTTCTCAGGCTGTAAATGATAGGGTTGAACATTGGAGTCAGGATGGTGTAGAAGACAGCCAGAACCTTGTCCTCTGTTGGAGATCTCAGCGATCTTGGGCGTAGATAAGTGTAAGCAAAGGGTACATAATATAAAGTCACCACAGTGAGGTGGGTGCTGCAGGTCGAATAGGCCTTCTTCCTCCCTTCTGTTGAGTGCATACGGCAGATGGCAAGGAGAACTCGGCCATAGGAACATGCAATGCCAATGAAAGGAAACACAAGGAAGAGGGTTGTGCTGACAAACACTGTGTACTCATAGACCCAGGTGTCCATGCAGGCCAGAGTCAACATGG